AAATAGCACCATTAGCCTCTGAGAAGTTGAGGCATCAGGGACACAAGTTCGAGCCCTGCCTGGGGAACTTAGTGAGGTGAGGTGCAGTCTCAAAGTAAAAAACAAAAAGAGCTGGGGAGGCAGCGCAGTGCAAACCCTGGGTTCAATTTCCAGTACTGAAAAAAAATAAAGAAGAAGAAGAAGGGAAAGAGGCATGGAGGGGGGGAGAGATCAGGAGGAGAAAAGAAAGAAGAGGGAGGGAGGATGGAGAAAGGAAAGACAGACAAAGGAAGGAAAGGGGAGAGGACGGAAAGAACAAAGAAGAGAAGAAAGGAGGCAGGAAGGAGGAATAAAGGAGGTGGGGGGCGTGGAGGGTCAAAGGGAGGAAGACGGAAACAGTGACTCAAACCAAGTCACCAGTGAAATGAATTACAGCACCTACATACACATTAAAGGAGCCTTAGAAATGACAACGAGGAAAGATTCTAAATTATAGTCCAGAAAAAAATACTTAATGCTATGGAAAAAAAGATCCTTGATTTATTATGAGAAAAAGAAAACCAGATTCCAAATAGAATCTCCAGTGTTATCTTTTAGAAATTTAAAACACATCCATGTACAAAAAGACTGGAGACATACACCCAGCAGTGGTCATCTCCAGGGGCTATGATTGCTGCTGATTGCAATTTTCTTCCACTGTGCTTTTAAAAAATCATCTTGCAGATTCTCCATAAGGCACACAAAGCACACGCAGCCTGCAGTCAGACAGCGGGGCCAGCCCCACCCGCGAGGGATCATGGGAGTAGGGCCTGCAGCTGTCCAGCTCCGCCCTCTGCAGGGGCCCAGCCACCCCCTTCTTTTGACTGGCAGAGGCGGACTGGTCCTATGGTGAAACCGTCTCTGCCTCTGCCCTCTGCCCTCTGCCCACTGCCTGCCTGCCTCTGCCTCTCCCTCCCCCTCCCCCTCCCCCTCTCCCTCTCCCTGAAAATTCACATAGGGAGCGAGCAGAAGAAAGCTTGTGTGAGGCGCGAGCGGCACGCACCCCTCGGTGTAGGGCCGTGCACCCCATGACGTCCACAGCGTCCACATTTGCCTCCTTCTCCAGGAGCAGCGAGACTGCGTCAATGTGTCCATAGGCGACTGCAAGCATCAGCGGGGTTCTAGGTGAGAGGCAGACAGGCTTCTGAGGGACCCAAAAAGAACTCCAGTGGGAGGTCCTCCCCATTATCTCCGCCCTCCCCATTTGCTCTCCACCCTGAGGCGGGAGCGAGCTGCC